GTGTACAATAGGTGGTGATAGCATGGGAAATGGGATGCCCCGCCCTGAGTGTGTTTATCCTGACCTGCGGGATAGCAAACCCCATCCTACACAGCGTGTAATCTTGTTCGCCGACGTTTTGTGTTGCCGGTCTACGAGCTGTTGGCGCGGCGCGCACCGTGCCAAGCGTTTAACAGAAAGCCTTATCGTGCAAACCGTCGGACGCACATTGCCCGCCCTTTCGTGGACCATATGGCAGCCCAACGAACATGTATGTGGCGCCCGTCGTGGCCAACCACCCAGCACATCATTGTTTCGTGCGCACCGTTTCTGCCGGTGATGCCTTTCGACACCTTGACGTAAACTAATCACCCGTGTTCTTTGTTTGACATATCTTTGCTTCTCGTCCTGCCGTTCCAGACAAGTTCATCACAGCCATCGCCTCTGCTCGCGCTACACTGCACGGGATCGTTCGCGAGGCCCTCGTCCCGCTTGCTCTCGGGCTCATCCAGAAGGAATGCCTGGAGAACGACACCTTCACCCTGGAGGACACCTTCCGGGGCGCTCGGGAGCGGGCGCGCTATCTCGAGCCGCACATGAACGCAAGTACTCCGTCTCACTGGTCGACAACACCGACACTAGGCGCTGTGCACTTGTCGCACAGCTAAACCCTCGCGCCCGCTTGCTCTGCTCAAATCACAGCATTGCATGATATCGTCATACCCTCGCAAGAGAGTATGTGCCCAAGGACCACCAGACTGTCCTCTTGCAAAGAAAGCCAAACAGGGATAGACACGGACGTGCATCTCTTCTTGCGAATCTAGCCACGGTTGTCATACCACTCCAACGCTGTTTTGTTGTTTCTGCCAACGCACCCGCAGGTGGTGCAGGACTTCCAGGACTCCGTGCTGGACTTCCCGGTTTCTGCCGCTCGGCGGGCCACCGGCAAGGGTAACCTCAAGGCGTTCCACGTTTACGGGGGAACGCGAACTGGAGAAGCAGTTCACCAGGAAGGTGAGAAGCCGGGAAGCGTTTCTAGTACCACCCGCTTCAGGTTCGTTAAGTCCGAAATGTAGCGCTACATTTCGGACTTAACGAACCTGAAGCGGGTGG